TTTATTGGCTGGTGTAGGCGTGTAGCCAGAAGACGCCGGCCACTGGCCAAAACATCTTGGAACGCGACAGTACGAAATGGACGAAGGTGTCTTTTCTTTTTGCGTGGTATGGACGGAGGTGTGCCCGATCTAAAAGACACACACGTAGTACGTACGAGATACGGCGGTGAAGATCCGCACAATCAATCGCGCCGGGCACACATGATACAATAAGTACGTCTAGTACCTCCGTAATCTTGACAAGTTCCGTTCCGCGCATGACGTGCGGGTACCCAATTGACCAGCATAGTCTTACTCTTACCGGCGGAACGTACGCCGTCCGTGCCACGGCTCCGATCCGACCACAGAGCTGACCGTGTCATGGCAATTCGCCCCGGTATGGCAGCCTGCTAACCTAACCCAACCCAACCTCAAAAAAAAAAAGTCTGGTCCGGTTAGACCGAAAAAATAATACAGTTTTGCTAAAGCACATCTAGATGTGCAATATAAGTATTCTAAATAATAATACTCCTACCAGGAGTACAGCAATAATCAACCCGGGTTTCTCTCTCCTTACCGGCCGTCCGTACGCACGCACGTACGAGCGGTGGCGCGTCAGTCACGCGCGCGGCCGGCTCCGGCGGTTTCACCCGCCTGTTACACGCAGGCGAGTACGGTCGAGGCGGTCGCGGTCGCATGCGCGTACGCGGTGTCGGACCGGAGTCCGGCCACAAGGACTGACTGGCCATAGACGACGGGAGCAGAGCACCCAGCCACGGCCAGGCAGCTACGCACACGGAGCGTAGCGCGATGAATGGAGCCGGGCAACCACCGGGACCCGGACCAGCCAACCGACGCCGTATCTGCACCCCCGCCCCGCCCCGGGTTGGGTTGGGTGGCCCGTGTGGGAACGAGCGACTCCGCGTTCGTGGGGTGGTCGCGGGTACGTGCCCCGGCTACCTAGCTGTACACATGCGCCTACAGCCCACACGGTCGATCGATTGTGTGCCCACCGCCCCACCGGCCGGCCGGATCCTGGATCCGGTTACCTGTGTCTGTGTGCCTCTCTGACTGAGCGCTGGTGCTGCAGCAGGCTGTTTGTTAACCATGTTCAGCAATTGACTTTATTTCATTATTATTCGGTGTATAATGGCCATGTGTTCTGCAGATTGACTTTCGTGCGGGCGTGTCGTCTTCTGCCGGAGAATCAGACCGGTTCGTAAAGAAAAACACAACAAAAGCGCCACGTAGCTAAAGATCATGTTTTACCGCGAACAGACATACCTTGGAGATTTACGTGTGGGATACATTCAGTGTCGTAGGCATTGTCGGTTTCTCTGTAAACTTGGTTAGGGCATCCACGGCCGGTCTGCACAAATTTGGCTCCTGAAACTCCAGGGACGCGGCCGGGGTCAGCGTTCAGACGTGTCCGTTTTGACTTTTTATTTGTCCGACCATGCAACCATGTTTATTTATTTTTCTTTACATACGTCCGGCCACGTGTATGTAGTTGGTGGAGAAACAGAGAGAGAAAGAAAAAAAACAATAAAAAGAAGATGCTCTCTATGATGGCCCAATCCTATGAGACAAGTATGAGAAGTACCGGACAACCCGGCCATTTAGGAAGGCTTAGAGAGGTCTGGCTGAGTCAACTTTTTGCTTCTCTCTTCTGTGCGATCACTGGTCCTGCCTTCACCCGGCCAATTTAAGGAGTCCGGCTATAGATACTCTTGCATTCATATTTTCAAGAAAAAACAACACGCGCTATGTACGGCCTAAGGAGATAGCACATCTTGTCAATAATTACTGCCCGGCATTTGAATTTGGCAGTCAAAAATACTATGCCTTAGGCAGAAGTAGAAAAACAGCGCCAATATCTCATGGAACATTACATTAAGCTCTATATAATCGCAAGCGATCACAGAGCTACGTGTAACTACCATTCTTCCACCAAAGCACGCACAATAATTTAACATGACAACAAATCATCAGTGATCATACACTACAAGATCACGATCATGTTTTTTCTCCTAAATGATTAGGATCACGTGGAATAGCTGTAGATACCACAGCACAGCGGCAATAATCCCACGCAAACATAACCTACGCACTAACAAATTAGCCATCGGTCAACATTTGGAACCTGATAATAATAATAATAATATACAAATACTTCTTAGGTTTCTAAAGTGTACCATGTAGTAGCACCACATAATCGCCAAGCGATCAGCGGAGAAGCACTGTAACCACCACTAATCCTCCACCAAAGCACACGCATTATGTATACAATAACAATGCAGCATGATGATGCGGCGCGCGATCGAGAATCAATCGAATCGCGCGCGCGATCCGCAATGCAGGAGCAAATCCAAGCGGACACTCCCACCAACAGCATCAATGATCGGAAAAGCCCCCAAAAGAAATCACCAATCATGCGGAGAGAGATCTAAAAAAAATCGTTTTTTGTCAAGGGAAAAAACGTGCATGTGCGTGCGGTGCGGTGCGGCTTCCCGCGTCGGGCCGGGCCCGGCTCGGCCGACCCGGCTCGGTTCGGCGCGTGATGGTTGGAGTTCGGCGCCCATGGCGAGCGGTTGGTCGCAGTGCGCAGTCCGGCCCCACGGCCCGGCCCGTCCACGTCAGATCTCCCCGGCACCACCGGGCTCGCCGGCTGCCACCCCGGCCCCACGTGCGCGCTCCCACCCCCATGGCGGGATCGCCTGCGGCTGGCTAATAAAAGCCAACCCCCACCGAGGCCAACGGCTCGGAGCGGCGCCAGCCAACGACAGCGCGTACGACGCTCGCTCGCTCGCACGCGCGCGCACAGGCAAAAGACAGACGCGTCCGG